AGAAATAGTAATAGTTGTAATATTGCTGGGGAATATGTGCTTCATGTCATTATTTCGCCCGGAGCAAACGAAGATGTCTTTGTATATCTTTCTTTAATCCGCCAGCAGCGGAAAGGCAGGAATTTCATTCTACTTTTGGCCTATCGCAAACTACAGAATAGACAAGTTGTTCATCTACAGGGAATGATTACAATCTATATACTCTTCTGCCTTTTTCCCATCTTATACATGACGATTAAATGAAAGGAAAATATCATCTGAAAATCATTTCTTATCACATCAGATTCACGAATAAAAAGCCCCCCCCCCCCCCCCAAAAAAAAAAAAAAAAAAAAAAAAAAAAATCTAAACGTTTCTTTCGGCAAAAATGGCATAAATTATCAAAGGGGTCAAACAGAGAGCGATTCATTCATTCTTAAGTAGTATGAAAATGTCGTTAATGAAAAAACTTCGATAATTATATTTGTCAAAATCCGATAGATTAAGAGAAGACCTTGCGTTATTGGTGTGTCAAATGCTCCGTTTCCCTCACAAAAGGTCATTGCCTGCTGATGAATTGGAAGCTCACCAGAGGGAGGTGATTGCTTCCTCCCGATTTAATTAATTTCGTTTCTCTTCCGCGACTGTGCGCTTGAGAGTCTCTTGGAGTCAGGGCGTCGGCAGGCATGCGTAAATTGGCTCTCCCACTTTGACTTGCTTCTGACTTGTAATTAAAGTTTACACCACTACTTTCTCCTAATTTTTTTATTTTTTTTAACACAAATGTCTTAAAATAAATCCCTTTCCTTTACTATCTCCCTCCTTCTCTCTCTATCTCTCTCTCTCTCTCTTTCTCTCTCTCTCGTTCCTCCTCTGTTTCTTTTTATATATCTAAACATGTATCTTTTTATATCTCTGTCTCTCTGTCCCTCTCTTTCCATTCCTGTACACTCCCCTCCACCCCCTCTCTTTCTCTCTCTCTCTCTCTCTCTCTCTCTCTCGCTCCCTATATACCTATCTATATATCTCCCTTTCCTATGTGCCTCTACAAACATCTAACACACCACAAAGTAGTCCACCTTAATGTTTTTCTATCATTTTATTGTTATCACGACCATAAATCTAACTCGTAAAGTTATGCAGTTTTATTTCTCACAGTATATTTATGCCCACAGAAAATGATAACTATAGTGGTTGCCCAAGACTACCCATCGGCCTCTTCGGGGTTAATCTCGCGGCCCCAAAATATTTTCTATTTTCTGATTTTCTATCAAATTGCAAAATACCCATAGAACTTTCGAGATCCCATTTAATATTTTGTAATTTGTGTAGAATTCTCGAATTAAATCATTAAATGACAGTGTCAAATTGTGAAGTCACGATTCGCCAAACAGAATACCACAATGTGTAAAATGAGGTTATTAGATTCCAAACATTGGCAGGAGTAGACACTATATTTACAAAAGGGGCGTGGTACATATTGTGATGACGTCTTACATTCTCCACAAATCCAAATCGCACCCTTTCTCCCTTTCTTTCTCTTTCTCTTCCTCGCTCTCTATTCTCTATTATTTTCTTTAATTCCAAATTCTTTTTTTATTTGTGTATCAGAAACTTAATCCGTTAATTAGTCATTTTAATCTTAATTTCTCTTACTAATTACATTGTTCTTACTTCGTTTTTTAAACTTTTATTCCGTTTCACTTATCATTCCCCCCCCCCCCCTCTCTCTCTCTCTCTCTCTCTCTCTCTCTCGCTCTCTCTCTCTCTTTCCCTTCTCTCTCCGTCACTCACTTCAGTCTATTTTCTGGGGTAAAGCGTGCACAAAATCCGTATATGTTTTATCATAATATACTATTATCCTCCTTTTTGTATTCGTTATTATATTCATCCTACTTCATAATTTTTCCTATTACATTCTCCTGTTTCCTTTCCCCCTTTTTCGAGATAATAAAAAAGAATTGTATTCTCGTTTCTATGAGTATGTGAGAACGAAGGACCAAATTTGATAAATCGTTTGTGTAGAGCCAGATAGGCGATAACTAAATCACTAACATCGAGCAAAACGCCCTTCTGGATCTCGGACTCCGAAATAATCATAGCAGGCACGCTTCTGGGTACTGCCGTGATGACGTACACCCTCAATTCACCAATCGCATAAGCGCGTTTCATTGGTAGGCGGGAACAAGCAATAAAGAAGCGAATTGTCTGCGGTTTTCATATTAATAATAAACTCATCACTACTGTTAACGGTTCCGGAACAAATTAAATCTAGCCGGTAGGCTGTTGGCAAATCAACCGTAAATGACGAATTCCATGCCATCTAAATTGCGACACAGAAAGAACTCAACTTTCGTCATTAAAAAAAAATATCTAGAAAGTTCCCGGGGATTGTGATATAAAGACCTTCTGAGGCAAACTGCGAGACTCCACATACGACTTGTGGACGCGTGTTGAGAAGTAGGTCATTTTCGTTGACAAATTAGTTAGCAAAATCAAAGGCATGCTACCAGTTGGAGACGGATACAGCCCTTGAGACCGGCAACCAACGAGACCACCATGTTGGTCTGGTTGGCTAACCAATTGCAGCATTAGAATGTCCAAAAAATATTCTTTTCTGCTTTCAACCATATTTTAAAGAATATATAAATATATATATATATATTTATTCTTCAATTGAATACTACTCTCACGCAGAAAAAGAACTTTGTGATCAACTTCTCATTTTTTTTTGAGAGAGAGAGAGAAAAGGGGGTGGGAGAGAAAAAGAAAGAGAGAGAGAAAGGGGGCGGGGTGGTACGAAAGTAGAGGAACGCCTCCTTATTCAAATCACAGACGGAGTTGCCAGGCAGCGTCCAAATGAAGTCCCTCAAATGAAGTCCCTCTGTTAGATACACGTATTACGCCTTTATTTTACTATAGTCATGACCTTATACGCGCCCGAGAGTGATTATAATCCATCTGGAGCAATGAGAAGATAATGACTTAGATTTGTCACATCCTACCCCTAACATAAATTTTGATGATTTTATGATTTTCCATTGCCCATTTCGACCTTTTCTTCCACAAATTCTATTTTCTACTGTTCATGCTCACTCCAGAGACATCATATTGGAAAGTCCATGTGAAATTGTGGTTGATGGACTAAATAATGTTAGATGTTTCTCTCTTCGACCTTGACTTTGTGTTTTTTACCAAAATAATTGATGGTGCTATATTTTTCCCATACATTCCAGAGTTGTGTATGACCGTTTGCGATGTGATTGATTGATATACCAAACCTATGAAAATGGAAAATGTTATCCAAAATTAAAGTAATCACGTATAGTCATTTTGCTGAATTATGTTCTCATTAAATTGATAATAGCAGTAATGAAGTGATAATAAGCTATTATGTATAACCACAGATTGAAGTAATGACAATAAGCAATGTAGTTTGTTTTTTGGAGAAAAAAGTGTCCTTCATAAAAAATGTAAAAAGGAGATGGAAAACAATGGGTAGACAATATAAAGTATTTAGGGGAAATATTTGATTAACAACTGAAGTGGTCTAACCATATAAAGTAAAAGAAGATATCTCACTCTTGCATGATATACATGTAAATGCGTAATACCTCATAAGACAATATTAAGCCTTTATTTTGCACTAGTTGTCCATGTATTGTACTACATGGGGAGAATTTTCGAAGACCAACTAACTGAAATTAAAAATATTACAGAATATATAAATATATGCCAGATTTATATGATTTGATGTGATACTGCTCAATCACCTCAATGTCTGTTTTTTTAAACCTCACATTGACAATCGGTTGATCAAAGATTAAAATATCATTACTGTTTACCTGGCTCCCAATTTGATTGTGCCCGATATTCTGTGAATACACTGCTTGATATTATATACACTAAAACATATTTCAAGAAACTATCATTCTTTTATAAAGAGAGTTTCTGTTCAACATACTTCCAATTTCTGTATATAATCAACCGAATCATTGGAACTTTTTCGGCGCGTTTGCCAATCAGCAAAATATTGTTATGATATACTCTATCATCAAGATTTTGTTTTTAAATCTCGTTTTCCTATTCCCCCTTCTTCTCCCTGTTTTGATTAAAACATCCTACAATGTACCATTTGTACATTGTGTATTTTCCATAATTATTATTTTCTGGTGATTTGTGTATTTTTGTGTCAATTTTTATAAATTTTCCATCTGTTTCATGTCTGTCGTTATTTTATGTTTGTACAGGGGGGCGTTTCATCAAACATTTAGTCGGGGGTTTTCACCGACTAATATCATTTTCACCGACAAATTCATCATCACCGACTAATTTCCATTTCATGAAATTTTGTCGGTGGAAAACACCGACAAATTTCTGTAAGTCACCGACTAATTTCAATAATTTAGTCGGTTGCCTTGGACCTCCCGACAAAGTCAATTTACACCGACTAATTACTCTCAACAACCAAAAAGACACCAAAAAGGGCAAAATGGCAGCAATCATGAATATCCTAGGGGTTGCTGCCCTCGGTAGAGAGTGTGTTTTCCGGGACCGTACAAATCTAGAGTCGATGCAGCTATGTTATAAAAATACAGATTTACTAGGGAAGGAGTGTTATACATGATAAATGAGTTAAACGACGAGTTAGAGCATGCCACAAAGAGGAGCAAGGATCTATCTGCCCATCTGCAAGTCTTTGTAGCTTTGAGATCTTTTTTGTGTGACAATAGAATGGTGACGCAAGTCATATGCGGAAAGAAAAACCAAGTAAGTATTGCCTTTTTTTTCCTGAAATGAACTGACTTGAGCTTGAAGTTCTATGAAAAGTAGACCCAATACCATCGCAATGTACAAAATTGTTTGTTTGATTTTTTTTTTAAATTGGGACCTAAAATTGTATTCCATTCTTTCATTCAGTTTAATTTAGATAACAAAGGTGAATGAATGGGGTCTAACGATAAGACTAAGCGTGTAGATTCAGACTCCACATTCACCCAACTTTATTACCTTTTTTTTTGTTTTGGTAGAGACAACGAAATTAAAATAAACACACAACAACAGCTGAAATTAATGTTAAAGGGCCTTCTCAATTGAACGGAATTTATTAATAAAATAAAATCAGAATGACATTTGTTGTGTCAATTTTCCATCAATTTTCAAAGAACAAACTACTTAATCTAGATCAATAGATCTATACCTTGAGATCTACTTAAACTACTGAGAGAAAAAAAAACCTCAAAGGTTGAAAAATGCAGTTAAAATGATGAAGAAAATTTACAGTTCATTTTCTAGTATTGATTTCTGTATCTTATCATTACTTGCTATTTTTCCTTTTAAACCTCAATTTTTATATTACAAATATCTCCCTCTCAATCTCCAACAGCTCCAGCTGTCCATCAACTGTGCATTTTCTTTGTTGTCCATGTTGTCGACGTTGCTGCTGCCATCTCTGTTGTTGTCCAGGTTGCTGCTGCTGGTGCTGCGCTGATGCTGTTGCTGCTGCTGTTGATGTTGTTGTTGCTGCTGCTGTTGCTGCTGTTGTTGTTGCTGCTGTTGTTGCAGCTGCTGTTGTTGGTTGTTGCTGCTGAGTCTCTGGAAAATGTTGGTTCTCTTGATGCTGTTTTGATTCAATCAACTGCAATTGAAATTCATATTTATAATGCTATTATCATCTTATGAAAAACATTAATATATTAAATAATTGTTATTGTTTATGGATTGTAATTTTAGTGGTGTTAGTGGTATAAGTACTGCTATTATCACTTCCCCTATCATTGTCATTGTTAATCATTGATTTTATATTACTTGTCTTTTTCTGGATCTCCTTATATATTCATTAAAAGAATACATTCCAATCAATTTAGACTAAGTGATTGTCTTTCTGCAAATCTTCCAGAGTTCCTTACTTGAAAACTGAAATAAAATGAACAAGTCAGGTAACTACATAGTTGTATATATATAAAAAATAAAAAATAAATAAAAATAAAATGCTTTTCCAATATAGGCCCATCTATTCTTACGAACAGTGAAATGCAAACATGATACTTATGTGATTATTTCATCATGACTTGAGCAGAGTAGAATGTATTAATGTCAAAGAATCTCATTTGCAGAAAAGCATTAAATTTGTTTAGTGATGAAGTAGAGACATGTCAATGTGTGCCAAATTGAGCAGTATGCATCGTAAATTTCCGACATACCAGTGAGTGATGAAAAAACAAACTTGTTTTAACTTAAATATTTCTTTGATAGATATCTAGCTGTTAAACATATTAAAAAGCAGTGAGGAATTCTCAATACTTGGTGTCCAATTTCTATTAGAACTATGTTTAGCACTTGACATGTCATACTGCTTTACTTTGCATGATCATCAAGTGATATATACATCTATTGCATAAATTATCATATTTAATGATAAAAAAAGACATTAAATGATTAAATAAAAAGTAATAATGGATTTAGGTTCTTAGCACACTTATCAATGTCTGTGTGGCGATTGGTCAAGTCACACAACTGATGGGGGGGGGGGCAGTGCAGGAATGGTTAATGAAAACATGAATGCAGTTGGAAAGCCTGGAAATTTATAATAAAGAATGTTCAACTCACCAAGGACATTCCATTTCCGGCTTCGGCTTCACTACCATAGCAGCCCTGGATTGGTTGTGCTGGCAGTGCCTCCAGCACCATCTAGTGATGGTCATGACATTTTGGCTGGGGTCCACCACCTCATAAAATCAATAATATTGGGATTGCTTTCATTATTTCACACTTACCATTTCTCACTTACCATTTCTCAAATAGGTATATTCACAGAAAAGGCAACATTTTACCTCCAGTGGTTCTTTTTTTTTTCTGAGGGGGTCTGAATTTGTTGGTATAGTGATCCAATATATAATAAAATATATATTTATAATTGATATATTTATCTCTAATTGTGTGTTTTTAATGTGGACCCATCACAAAACTTTCAAATTTATATATTATTATGTATGCTTTATTTACGTCATAGCAAGGTTGTTGTGTTGGCTGTCCAAAGGAAAGAACTGAATGATGCATTCTTGAACAATAACAATATCAATAGTTTCACGTCAATAAATAAATGTATCTGTTTCTTTCCCCGTTTATTAAAAACATTGTAATATTCACTATGAATTACCAGTCGATTGTGCTTTGCTCCTATATTGTTGGGCACAAGAGGCCACCGCTATGAGGTAAGGGGCAGAACATCAAGACTGGAACCTCAAGGCACCCCATCTCTCCACAGGAAACCCTCCTTCTCAATCTCTGGAAGAGAATTATAAACATTTCAATAAATATTAACCAAATATGTAAGAAAATACAAATAAAATAGCAATGTCTAAGAGTTTAGTTGTCTTTAATATTTACTTTTCAGCAAAATTTGAAAGTCAATTTTTTTGCTTTTTGCTCGCCATTCCTTTTCATGTAATGGACCCTCCCCCTCCCCCCCCCCCCTTCTACAAAAGCTTCAAATGTTAATTCTAAAAAGAGATATATTGGAGGTTAACCCTATCTAGCCCGAGCTATTTTGAAACTGCATAGCCCGGGGGGGGGGGGGGGGGGGGGGGGGGACTGTGAAGGCCTCCCCCTATGATCTCGGCCGTTGAACGGCCAATCGCTGCAAAAAATTGCATGCATGTCAAGTGAAGTGTAATTTATATTACTATGGTTATTTAAATTTTGGAAAATTTTGAAAAAATGGGAAGAGCTAGGTTATCCCTTATGTTATTCATTCTATTGATTTGATAATTTCTTATATACAGTGTATTTCTTTCTTTTTTTTAATTTATGTATTTTTTTTTTTTTTTTCTATTCTAACTATATAATTTGAATATTTGAACCCCCCCCCCCCCCCCGCAAAAAAAAAAACAACAAACAAACACCTAAACTATAAACAAAACCAAATAACCGATGTTTTATCTCTTTTTTTGAAAAAAATGAGATATGTTTTGTATTTAAATCATGAAAATGAGTGATTTTCGGGCTGATATGCAAAGACAAAAGGTCACGTGACTTGGTAACGTTAGGTCCGATTTTCAAAAAAATTATTTCTAAAGATGCGCAAGACTTGAAAAAAAAAGTCACAAAATTTCAGTGCAAGATTCTTTGGTGTTAACAAATTATGATCGCAAAAAATGTAGAGGGGGGGGGGGGGGGGCTAGATAGGGTTAAAATTACACTTTAAATAAACACTACAGCAACTTTTTAGTAGAGATGTTGATGCATACATAGCCACCCCCTTAAAAGGATACTTCTCAAACCAGCCCTTTGCATCCCCCTCCAACTTGACCTCACTCATTTCAAAATTTCCTTTTACTTGAGAAAACTAAACAGATCCAAGTTATAAGATCCAAGGTAAATATGTTTACCGTACCTTCTCTTGTGGTGGTCTGTTCTCTCCAGGACATTTTGTTTCAAGCACATACTCAAAGAAGACAAGCATTTGGTACTGCAACAAGTCGCTCTGTAAATTTACCTGTAAAAAAGAGAGGGAGAATTTGATTTAGAATTTTTTTAAATGAGCATTAATATGAACATTGATGAGCATTTGCAGAATTAACTGTGCTATTGTAATTTGTATTTTCTCTTTACTTAAAAAGCCCCCTTTCATATATCTACCATTGAAATTTATGCTAAATTTCTTGATCTCAGATAGATCATATGATCTAGATCGATGTCTTGTAAGTTGTAGTTAAACTGTTTATTCTGTCAAATTGAGAAAATGCAAAATAAACATGGATCTAGCTAGTATGAGTAGACTATGACAGAGTCAGAAAACTTAATCATGTTCACGACAAAAATAATTTCAGATCGAGATAGAGTCTTTAGAGGCAAAGCCAACAAAGAAATTAAAGATAAACTTTAGTACTGGTAATGCGATTGCATTGTGAAAGAAAAGGTGTGGAAAGGATCAGAAACAGTTGATCATGTAGCATGTAAGTATTGGTGTGCACTGCAAGGTTCTGGAGTCATCAAAATCATAATAAATTTGACCGAGTCTTGGTAAATTAACACACACTGTACACAGAAAGCTATATATGGGACAGCACACATGGTGTCGGGGCTAGTACTACCTTGATTTCCTTGTCTTTTTATGCTCATTACTCAGCCAGTACACATTTTCTTCCAAAATTGTTTGGCACATGTCATTTATTTGTAATCTTGAACATTCAGTGCAAGTTTCGTTTGATTCTGTGAGAATTAATTTTCTTTTTACCAGAACTGGAGTTTATCTTTAAGAAACACAAAGGTACCACATCCACTACAGTCCTAGGCTAGGCTAGCCTCTTGTCGATGGCCCTAGCGCTGTCGAAGTCCATAAATTCTGGCGAGCACTTCTGTTTATCTGGCGAGCGAAGCGAGCCAGAAATTACGGACTCCAACAACGCTAGGGCCATTGACAAGAGGCTAGATCTAGACTGAATAATTTGGGGGATACTAGTAGTAGACCCCTAGTAGATCTCCTAGATTTAGATTTAGATTTTATTTTTAGGCTTAGATCTAGATCTAGACCTAGATCTAGACTTAGATCTAGCCTAGGCCTATCAATTATCATCTTTTTCATCAACAACCAGGCATGACAACGTGTGTTAAAGTTAGATGGCTACGAGTATAGCCTAGTGAAATCTACTACTAGTACTAGACATTGTTTGTGTTCTTGCAGTTTATTGCAGTTTCGATACTTAGGTTGCAATAAAACTGAAATTTTCGGTTAGTAAACCCGACAGCCAACTCAGCTCAGCTCCGGATACAGCACAGTAGAGGCTGCTGCAAAAAGGCCCGGCACTAGCCCGGGCGCTACACGCAGCTTTCGCCTTTGACTCGTGCCCACTGCACTAGCGCATGAAACTGGTCAATCACTCGCACACGAGCTCTCATAATTAGTCTTTGTTTAACCGCCGAAAAAAGTATTCAAAAATCAAAAAGCACATAGATGTCGAGTTAAGAATTTTGTTCTTCGTATTAGGGAATAAATATGACTTGTACTTACGGGATTTCTACGAAAAACCATTTCGGCATAGAAGTTGGGTTCATTGTATGATGATTGTCGCAGACGACGGTGAAGCGAAATAAAGAGGGTGGGCGTGGCCTAATTAGTCAGAAGGCTCGTCCCACTCGATTGAAGATTAAAAGTCCGCTGACAATTTGTCAGAGCTTGTTATAGAGCTTCGTGAAACGGTTTTTAGTCAGCGCTGACCATTTGTCAGCGCTGACAGATTTAGTCAGCGCTGACAGTTTTCCGCCGACAAATGTTGATGAAACACCCCCCCGGGCGCTACACGCAGCTTTCGCCTTTGACTCGTGCCCACTGCACTAGCGCATGAAACTGGTCAATCACTCGCACACGAGCTCTCATAATTAGTCTTTGTTTAACCGCCGAAAAAAGTATTCAAAAATCAAAAAGCACATAGATGTCGAGTTAAGAATTTTGTTCTTCGTATTAGGGAATAAATATGACTTGTACTTACGGGATTTCTACGAAAAACCATTTCGGCATAGAAGTTGGGTTCATTGTATGATGATTGTCGCAGACGACGGTGAAGCGAAATAAAGAGGGTGGGCGTGGCCTAATTAGTCAGAATTCTCGTCCCACTCGATTGAAGATTAAAAGTCCGCTGACAATTTGTCAGAGCTTGTTATAGAGCTTCGTGAAACGGTTTTTAGTCAGCGCTGACCATTTGTCAGCGCTGACAGATTTAGTCAGCGCTGACAGTTTTCCGCCGACAAATGTTGATGAAACACCCCCCAGGATGTGTTTATGAAGTAGTATTCTTTATAACTCAACGTAGGGCCTACCTATGAATTATCAATACATAAATTAATGAATGATAATAAGTTAAACACGAAATAATGCACTGTTCAAACAGGCCTGTATCACAGAACCGAAAAATACAAATTGTCTTGTTCTGTGGCCTGTATACGTCTTAACGATGTACATTACGGACAATGAGGACGCTATTCTCTTTTCATTTATGGATAACTGATGAACAATAACTGGTTTGCCATTTTTTAATGAAAGAAAGATACTCACTGAGAAATATATTTTTTTCGTTGTTAGCTACTAAACCTCGTCTTGGATTGTTCAAATTTGGTTCTTGTTTAGCAATGTGCATCATTATGAAAGCATGACAGTGTTATTCCATTTTTGTTTCCTAATATTTTAATTTACTCATAATTCAAACCATTCCCTATCTATCTGCATTATAATTTAGTTGAGATCCCCCCCTCTCTCTCTCTCTCTCTCTCTCTCTCTGCCTCCTCCCCTGGACTCATCCAATTATTGCGTTCTCTCTTTTTTTCTCTCTCTGATTTTTTAAAGGTATGGGTTCGATAAGGACAAGATCCCCTCCACCTTTTCACCCCACAAATTGCAAAAAAAAAGACATAATTTGCCAAATAACATGCTACAAACAAAAAAAACAGTTCATAATTACAAGTAAATATATTGCAGAAATCCATCTAGTTTCAGAATGCAGTCCTTGTTAAATTCATCTGGTGAAACTCCAATCGGAAATAAAACAAACACAACTTGCAATGCAACAGGTGAATTGTGTTATAAATCTACCACAAATTTAATGAACTTCTATTACACAGCTGACATTACAAAGAACCACATACATAAAACTGACATGAACAATAACTGACATCAATAATCTCTATTTTTACAGTTTTGATTTGTTATTTTGTACATAGTTGTAGATTCTACTAGATTATTTACAAGTGTGCAATACTGAGTATTTCATTACACAAAATGTATAATGTTTCGATCAAGCGCCATTTTGGGTCATGTTCCACTAAAAAATGAAAACAAATTATAAGATTTCTTGAAGAATAACAAATGTGAGTACATTGCATGTACAAATCCGAATGAAATAAACAAAAAGAACAAGAAAATATCAATGATTGGTTAAAAATTGTTGTGATAAGCTTTAAATTCTATGTGCCATACATGTGTTCGAAATGAGACTTCAGTATTGCAAAAGCAGTAATATTAGCTAAATTATGAACTTAGAAATACAAATCATTCTAATAAAATAACATTCCAGTCCTGCACATTTTGTTTGAGTAATAATATGATGTAAATAGCATTTTGCTTTATAGCAACTTAAGCTACCTCTTATGTATGAAACACTATAACATGAATGAAAAACATCCAACTGAATTTGATGTTCTGCATTCATTAAACATCATTTTTTAAATTGCAACTTTTTAGTATTCAACTACTGCCACTAGGCAAGCAAATCATCTTTAAATACAGATTAGCAGAATATATGATTTTCTAACACCAGAACATATTTCCTGCTGAGAGCTAGAAGGGCATTAACTCTTATATTTTTACACAGACTTAACCACCCTGCTATCTATAAACAGACAATATATAAAGCTCAATAAGTTGCAAAAGAAATCACACAAATGAAAAATAATTAGATATGCTTTCCAGAAAGCATAGGAAAGATATCAGAATATATAATAAGTATAATTACATGGGTTAGGCCTATATATAACAAGTAACCTCTTTCTTTAATACATATGATATCAGTCCATTTCTGAATACAGCGCACTATTCTTTTCAATGAGTATATAAGCATGAACTTTATAAGATGCATACCAGAAATATCAACATAATCAGCTTTAGCAAAGCACAGTATTGAGTGATCATATTTCTGCATCTAGTCTGTGAGGCTCTTTTGCACCATCCAAGGTCAAACCAGGCACTCACAAGTGGTCAAGTAGAACACAAAACCCTATGAAGAAATCCAAACTCCTTTACTCTGTAACCTCTATATTCAATGCCATTGATGAACTTTGTATTTGTGTGGTGAAGTCAGTGAAAGTGATAAATACAAAGAATAATGTAGGCGTTAATGATTGACCACAACTTTTTTCATTTGGCCGCACCGTTTTAAAAACAATATGAAAACATTTTACATGTCTTGTTTGTATAGGATAAATTTCTTCACAGGGTTACCTTTATGTGTTATACGCGACCCTAGTGAGTTCGTGGAGTGACCTTAGACAGTGCAAAAGCGTGATCACTAAATACAGTGCTTCTAACCGGTTCAACAATCCCAAAGCTTTCCAATTCTCATTTAATCCTAATTCAATCCATTTTGAAGTAAGTTCATAAACAATGTGAAAGTATACACTTTTACGTTACCACACTCCTCGTAGATGTACGATGGCTTTATTACATACATGTAGGCCACGGGGGCAGCATTTCACAAAACTGTCTAAAGTATAAGTCCACTGACATCCAATTGAAATGCATGTAAAGTCATTAACATGCGGTTCAATTGGATTTCAGTGAACTTGAACTTATGATGGTTTTGTGAAACGATGCCCTGGTTCTCATAGGCAATGTGTTGAAACCTTTTGGGCTTCAAACAGATGATATGTAAACCACCATTGTTAATGGTCTATAACAGGCAAGCCTTCACAATTGGCATTTTGGGGGGCCACAGTTACATATACATGAAATATGAATATTTTGTTTTCTTCTTCAATTTGTCGGCTGATTGAAACACATATAATTAATGTTTATGTATAAAAAAGGCTCAGACGTGTTTGATAACACATGCTCATGGTAAGAAACACACTTAATATAGAATACCCTTCAATTGTTGATTAAAATTGTGCAAATTCTGTATGTAGTATCAGGCTCTGCTTGCAAACAAAAAGAGGACAAAATGGGGTAGAAGTATCGTATTAAGAATAATTTACTCTCGACCTTTTTCATTTTCAGGCCATGCTTATTAAGTTACACGTAATATATCTTTTCAACAATAGGTTTCATTTAAACCTATCTGGCTGAAGCATTCAAATAGCAAATCTACATGTACATTCAACAGCAGAATCATAGCAAAGTAAGGAGATTGCAATGTTTTACACATAAATATATAAATTATCAGCATACTTTTTCTTGCCCTCCTGTATATATACATCACAGGATGACTGTAACAACTCTGGCAACAATTTACATTAATGTGAATATACATTTTGTACAATGATACATAAATATCTTGCCATGCCAATGAACAAAAGTCATAAATTAAGTGCCTACATGGTCATTTGCTGCATCATTTAATCCTACAAAACATTTATGGCAGTTAATGTTTGTCTTATATCATAAAAATTACACCAATTACAGTGGAGTTGTTCCATTTGGCAATATAGAACTGTGCCCTACTCTAACAAAAAGAAGCAAGGTTCATTCGATATATGTAATAATTTGAAGGAAACAATATCAAGGGATTAGAATGTTAAGAATTAACCAAGACATTCCTGTCCATCTCTTAATTTTTGATGATGCACAATTTGTGTAAAATATTTGTCAATTTCTTCATGATGTAAAAGTAGGGCAGAAGTATTATTTCCAATTAGAGCAAAGATTTATACGATTGCTTCTTGAAGCACAATCCTACATGTACACACAGTTTTCCATGTTTTAATGAGAATACAGTATAAGGTTATTCAGGTTTGGCTTCGAGGGCTTGGGGACGCCGAACAGAAAATCCTTTCTTACAACAGTCAATGAATGCCCATGGATCTATATTAAGGACTGGATTGCACAGCAAAGAAGAAGGGAAAAAGATAGAATAATTCAAGTTTATGCCACTGCTTTGGTGAGAATTATAAAAAGGTTAAAAACATGCTTTAGCTTTGAATTGTGATTTCAAGTAGGATACAGATTTAAATGTAATATTTAATGTTGAAAATACATATTGAAATATCAGTCCATCCCATCTTCTTGGAAGCAAGATTAGATGAGTGGCAACAGTGTTATGGAATTCCTTCAATACATAGGTACATGCATAACAGTATTTACAATTCTATGTTTTTTTATGAAGAGAATTTATACTATTCTAAATCACAATGTAAATTGCTCATTGTTTTCCAATTAATACTGGAAAGTTTTTTCCATGCATTATTTCTATTTCTATTTCTATTATATTATAATTTGAATGCATGACTTCTTTCAAGTCATGTAGAAATGAAGAAAACAAAATATGCTGCCAATCTGAATAAGATTCAGCCTCTTTAAAATGAAATTGTCTTTCATGGTCTAGGGTAAAATTGCTAGACTACGCACATAGGTATTTCTTGTACAATACTAACCTTTTTGAAACAATTATTAGTGAACCAGCTATTTTTCACCAAGCCTTCAAATAGAGAATATCAACAAAAGATGAAGATTACATTGTGGGATGAGTCAAGAAAGGATTCACCGAATAAACAACAATGATCAAAATAATAATAATAATAAAATATCATAACAAATAATTATAAGTGGAATTAATAACAACGATAATAACTATGACTGATGCCTAGTTGAAATCACAAATTCTCGCTAGGGTAGCACAGCATTGCATGCGCATAACTCCTTAATTTTTGGGGGGCAAGTAAAATCGGTGCTCAGGCTACTGCTAAAGAATCTCCATAGTGTGCAGGTTCTATTGTGCAGCTTTCACCGATAGTTTAGCAATCCATGCAAGCATTCCATTCTACCACATTGGCCTAACGAGCAAGAGGCTGAAAGTAAATAATTTCCTTTTTCCCCCTTTCGATTAAAAATTCATTAATTTAAATAATGTACATAGTTTTGTATACAATCACTGGAGACAGACTTTTACATATCTTGTATCCAAATACTCTCAGTAATGTATATGTTTGGATTTGTTCCCCCTTGTTCTTTTATTTCTTCTCCGCTTGTGTTATTCTCATGTTATATATTGTATTATTTGTTAACTTTTATATATTTGTTTACCTTTGTATATTTTCAATGAAAGTATTGAATTCAGTGAACTTGAACTTGAAGATTATTCAATATCTGGCTACCATATGATCATTGGGCTTTCATCAAGGCAAGTACATTCGTTAAATCATAAATAACATAAACTAAATAAAGTTGAACAGAACAGGTTACATTGATTAAACATTGATCGCATCATGCTCCCTCCACCCTGCATGCCATTAGTCAACCCTCCAGTTACACTAGGATCAAATGCTATTTCTGACTGTTTTTAAATTATTTTTTTATTAAATCGTTGTTTAAATGCACTCCTTATACTTCATTGTGGAGCAAATTGTGAAATGAAAGAGCTACATGTATATCAGCTACTCTGTGGATTGGATTGGATGCTATTGACTTCATTGTAATAATGCATTGAGTAAGGGAAGGGTAAACCTTTTGCCTCACAAAGCCATAATTGCTTTAAATTAGGTGATAAATGCTATGAATGCCATTTCTTCCTATGGTAACCAATGAGTTAACTCTCTTGATAAAGTTGATATATATACACCATAAACAAAAGCATCATTTAATTATGTCCGTGATGGACTGTTGTTATATTGACCACAAACCCAAACAATAGCAAGATTATAGTATTCCGGCCCATGTTGCTGACATGTCTTAAGAGCAATAAGGGCGTTGAGTCTACATGAATTTGATTTGCATGTAAGCTACCGCCCTACTGGCTCTCCACAGACACAAATCATCATTGATATCACATATGGCATTCCTTTTAAAGATATTAATAGGGATTAATTAAATAAATGTGGGTGAAAAGAGGGTGAGGTGGGGTGCGGGTGAGGGTGCACAGAATAGGGTTAAGGATGGCGTAAATCACCACACCTGGAACTCAAAATCATCGTCTTGTCGGAATATTCTGAAGAAGATGAGAATAGTGATGAAGCTCCACGTGTTGCCAAATAGAACCAGAAGGAGGGCTTGGTATGTTAACTGTATCAAAGATATAAAAAAGGTGACAATATTCAGTTTTTTTTGTAGTACAACTGTGTTTCTTTGACTGGTAAATCAAAGACAAGATCACACTATCCACTCAAAACACATGGTATACCAGTATTGAATTTTATTGAAAGAAGTAGGATGTCGTTGAGCAATCAAAGCTGATGAAATATGATATTTTTCATCATTGCCTGTCAGAACCAAGTCCAAGGCTATATCCTACTGATGTGCTACTCAACAGTTCCCCAGGATATTCTGGTTTGGCAAAAAGCACACAAAATTGATAGACCTCGCTCTCCATAGATTGATTTAGGTAAACAAAACATAACTGAGTGTAGTGGTTATACTGGAACTGGCCCAAACACTTTACATCAATAATTGTCACTTATGTATCAAGATAAGTCTTGGTTTCTGATGTCTTTTCTTTTTATTTTGGACCCCGATACCCAAAGCTAAAAGAATATACTCAAAATTGGTTCTCCAGATACCAGGTCTTGACAAATTTTGACATCACTGTTGATTATGCAAATAATAAAAGAAAGTCTAAAGAACCTTCTATTATCCCAAACAAAATGGCTGATATTAGTTCACCTACCGTTCCAACGTGCATGAGGACCATGGGTAGACCATACGCTGACATCACGATGCCTGACGTCAAGAAAACACAGAGCTCTTGTAGCGCACTGCTGGTGGCACCGATGCTATCCGAGCTGGCTAGTCGCTTACTGATCAACATAGGGATTGGGCATAGAATATAGAATACCAGGACAAACATGGGCCACCATACTCTGTGGGAGTGAGGTAATGAGAGGAAAGCATGTCAAGTTTATTGCTCCACAATTCAAGTTTAGTTAAAGGTACTATGAAACAGTTAGTGTAGAATAAGTAGTTGAATTGTTCATAAATTTGGCCAATAATAACAGAAATCCCTGAAAGTATTACAAAGGTCGATTGAAGTTAAAAGGAAAGAGTCAAAGTTCACTTTGAACAGAAAGCATAAGAATTTTGTCAGTAAATGTACAGTGGTACAAATTGCCATACTCATGAATATTACCATTATTGGAGAAGTAAATTCCAGGGAATTCCATGCCATTATCACCATTCATATAATCTACCTGACGATCATGCTTTTTTTCTTCTTTTTTTCTGTTTTTTTCTTCTCTTTTTCGGAAGTTAAATAGAAATGGTAAATTCTGGTCTAGTCTTCTGATAGGTAAATGGCTCATGACTTCTGTTGATGTGTATGGGCCTCATATCATGAATTGGTTCATAAATACGAGGTCCAAATCTAAACATTTTAAAAATAATTTTTCATTATCCTGCAAAACTCAACTTCTAGATGCTCCAAACATCCTCTACTTTTGATGACATCCGTAACAATTTTCATGAACGTTATGCATTTTAACCAGAACTTTAATAGTGCATTTGCTCACATTATCATCAAGGTTTTCTCATATGCTTTTCACAGTTCTAGGATAATCATCCTCTGAACAATCACCCCCGGAAAATTACCCTCAGTCTTACCAAAGTGGGCTAGTTACACAAATAGTACAGGATTATTTAACACCCCAAAAATATTACAGGGCTAAGGATAGGGTTAAGAAACCTGAGTGCAAATATGCAAAGCATATTACAAAACTACCTCAAAACCTTTCAAAATATGATAATCCAATGATAATCACTTCTATATCAGACAGTACTCCCTAGAATCAAAGGATGTAATGTGATATACTGATACATGTACATGTAACGATAGCTATCAAAATCATTTAAAATTGTTCGCATTCTAATTTTTAGAGACTGTTTACTTACTGGCCAAAACCAGGAATTGCACATGCAAGTACAATCATAAGAATTCCCATAGATGCCGAGAAGGCCAACCCCACCAAGCTGTGAATGAGAAACATACAATACGAGTATTATAATTTAAATGCAGGAAAAGCAACATGGTCGACATTACATGTAGATTAAAAGCATATTTCAAACTTCTATTACAGGAAAATATTTGTAACATGGACTATATTTCAGATTGATATATTAAAAAAAATATGTGATTGTGAATCCTATTATTTATGAACCTTCCAATTTCACTGATCTTACTCTCCTCTTAAACAAATTTTGTGAAGAAGAACTGAAGCTACATGTAGAGCCCCTCAAGGCATCGAGTGTCAAATGTCTATTCAATTATTTGAAACATGGGAGTATTTAACATCACTAATTTAAATGGACTTATTATATTGGTTCATCTATTCATGACCATCAAGAATATACAAGAGATACAGAGTGATGTACAATGATAACAAATAATGAAGTATTCCTTTCCTGTAGCTCTCCTTTACCCTCTCCCCTTCTCGCCTTTGAATAATTTTACAGTGTAATGAGAATGAATTATTACAAATTTGGTTTGGCACATGCTCGTGCATGTACAGGTATACAATCCCTCGTATCTCAATATGCAAAGAATATATTCTTATATTACATTGACAAATAAAGCAACTGAATGTAGACTAAAACAATAATAAATAATGAAAGTTCCATTCCTCTTGTTTCCTTCTCCCTTCCCTCCATCACAATGTGCATGTAATGAGTCGATGTAAAAGTTATTTAAAATCTTTGCTTTGTATGGACAGGAAATAACACTCATGCACAAAAATGTACCGGTATACGCTGCCTTGTAATGAAGCATCTGAATATATATAAAAATATTGATAAATAAACAATATTTAAAAAAACTACCTCATAATGGAAACAACAACACTTAATGCAAACCATATGCAAGTTTTATCAGCAGTTAGTACAATAATAATAATGAATACTTGTAAACCACCATATCTATTTTGCAAAATGTTCAAAATGCTAAGAGAGTAAAATAAACCATGTCTACTATTTGAATAGAAATCTACTTACCCTTCAATTTGTCCACAATTGAAATTGCAATCCATGACAAGTTTGAGAAGAAAAATGAAAAGTGATGAAAGAAAAGGGAAAAACAAAACAAATCAACTGATTAGCAATCTGAAGGAAAAAAACAACACTCTAAGCCTACTTTAGCTGAAGTCTGTTCATGGACAGACAGATTGAGATCCTTTTATTATACATGTACAGTGTAGATTACACATTGGCTGAATCAAAGCTTTTCTGGCAATCTTCCACTGCCAACAAACAATGTACATTTAAAAGTACCAGGACACTTTAATGTGATTATGATTATCGTATTCCTGCTGTGTGCATAAATACATTGCACTGTTCAGCTGAAAAGAAATTAAGGCACATCGTGCACAAGGAGTCTATACTCTGTACATGTAGCTCTCATATATAAGTACAGGCATCAACTTCTTAAATTACCAATTTATTAAAATGTTATGCATATCAATTGTTGCTGGTACTCTGGTAGGCTCAATTGCAAGGGTTAATCAGGTAAAGTTATTTAGACTGTATGCACTTATCAAATGAGTCTGCAGATAATACACTACCTCTGCTTCCTCATCTTCTAAGGTTAAGTGGGTTTTAAATAGGGTCTTAACTATATACATGTAGCTCTACAATTTTCACATGTGAGACTTGGTTTCATTTCATAAGAGATACCGGTACATGTAACGAGTGTAGAATATCGAGCTCAACAACGGCAGTGAATTTTAGAGACAGTACACATATAAAGGGGATCCCTTATGTCTGTACACCTTAAGTTTCACTCGATCAAAATCAACAGTAGTTTTCTTAATGTATTTCCCTATTCCATATTGTATAGAACAAAGTCATTTTCTAGAGAAAAATGTGGTGGTGTAGTTTCAAGTTTTTTTTACATTGCAAAAATGAAGGCTCCTGTGTCTGCTCACTTGTTCACTTAACACGCAGTTCAAGATTTTGTTATGTGATAGATGACATTTCACTGCTTGTGCATAAAATTAGTAGATTTTTTAAAGACATTTCTCAATATTTTAATATTTCTTCTGAATAAGTATAGATAAGATAGAGACACACATTTTGTGTTGGTTACACGTTTTGTTTCATCAGAATTGCACTGTTACAAGCATGCGAAGACAAGGGCGCTTCATAGAAGTTACACAACTCTGTCTCTGACTATACAGTTAAAGCATCTGGGAATGACAGCCCACAAGCATGACAAGAGTTACCTGACCAATCAAAAGACTGCCTGCCCATTAGATCTCCCAAGAGCATATCCAGGACACCACCAATAACAAATCATACTAAATTTGTTCATACCCTGCTGCATAATGATGATGCTATTAATCTTAAGTTTAAATTTAAAAAAATGTTGTGATCAACAATCGTCAGCAGGATAACTGGCAATCTGCAGGAAAAAAATCACAGGCTCAAGCCTCAAACTTAAACTTAGTCAGAGCTCAACTTGTCTACATTTGGTCTAATACTAACAATAACAAGACTGAAAAATTTAAGTTTTGCTACACAAAAAAAACTATACAAAAGGCATACATTTTGTATGGCTTGTATTGAACACCCATGTTATCACATTTTGAGTACTTTTGTAGATACAAGTTATGTAATCTGGAAGTATAATGTCCACAGTTTGACACTTCGATTTTTACAGGCCAGTAAATCATAAATACTTTTGCGAGTACGCGACATGAATTTTTTCGTATTCAACCCTACATTTTACCATTTGGGAATAATCAAATCACAAGTGCTTTTTATTGAGACTAGTCATGACGTATTATGTATATTTCATTTATTTACTCATTTATTTATAGTTTATTACATTACATGTACTATTGGTTATCGTCAGTTTTTGGGTGGGCTAAGAACCGTAGCCGGATTTCCTCCTCCCATCCTTCACCAGGTCTGGCCACTAATTTTGAGACAGAGTCGCTTGTTATGAAGGCACCCAAAATCATGGCCGAAAAATCATGCAGGATTTTTTTTATTTTTGCTCTTTTTAGTGACCATTTGATTTACATTTATTTTCTTAACATCTGGGTCAAGTACTGTCACTGTTCGTACTTTTGATGGTATTTCAACGGTCAAATTATCCAACAATTTGTAGATTAGATAGCCTGTTCTACAAAAGTACTCAAATTCAAAACAGGAGTGATTGTTACAACATGTACGTACATGTACGGTGGTGTGACCATAGTTCGCGCGTGACCTAAGTTCGCCTTCTCCACAAATTGGTAAAATTTCAAAAATCTGATATCACCAATGGAAAGAGGAACATAAAATTACCCAGAGACAGAATTTTCTCTGGAATCGAGTGTGAAATTTTGAAAATATTGACAAAAGATCGGCACATTTTGCAGTCGTTTGCGTAAGTTCCAAAAAGTTATTAATTTAAGGGTCTGGAAATCTTCATTTTGAAAGCAGATATCCTCAAAGTGGTACCAACTGATTGTAAGGTATATTGCCTCGCAAATTATGAAATTACCATAATTTGAAAGAATCGCACTTCTTTATAAATTGGCTGTAAACCTGTGCCCACGTGCACAATGTAATTAAGGTCTTGTTGTTTTTACAACTTTTTTAGTTGCAGCGCACGCATATATCTAAATAAATTTGTGTAGAATATGAGAAATCATAGATTGAAATCACATTTTCTAATATTTTCAAAATCTCCGCGAACTTTGGACACCTGGGCCGGGCCTGGCCCCGACACTTTGACAGCAGGTCATTTTGTAAATAATCGATACGACCGATTATCTAGACCGAAAGTTTCATAAATACAGGCGAGTTGTTGTGACGAGACTTTCCTATGGCAAATGTAGGCCTAGACTAGATCTAGACCCATGTCAGTTTTATTCAAGAATTCCCCATACCAGACGGTTATTTACGTCTGTGACTGTGAGTGTGACTGCACTGCACTGTGTATGTTTGACTTTGCCGTGTTTATTTATTTTGTGACTTGCACTGTGCAGTTTCATCAAATTCATTTCAATCAGTACTTTTAACAATCCTTTATTTTGTAAATCACATTAAGATAGCACAGATTCAACTCATTTAAAGCAAAGAGTTACATTCATCGATTAACTTAAACACTTTAACCCCGAATTCAACTCATACAATTCACACCCAAGCACCCATTCCTTCATTGCAATACTCACTCGCTATTCCAGCCATCTTTATTTTCAATTTGTATAGGATATCCGTACCGTACCCGGAAGTGATTGTATTGCATTCATTGCATATGCACACTTTGATTGGCATATATCCGGATAACCGAGAAAAAATATCGCATTCGTACCGCTAGCTGAGTCAAATCACACGACATAACAAATGGGCGGGGCGAATGAGAGATGTTATAGATTCGTAGATTCATTCAACGTCCACCTGACAATGATTTGTGCATGCACAGAGGCGGCGGAGCGACTTCCAAAGTGGGAGGGGGGGGGGGCACAAACAAAAAAGGGCACCTTAAAAGGGAAATCTCAAAGCGATAATATACAATTTTTTAGACGTTGGTACATAGATCTACCCCTATATTATGATTACATTATCGGGGATGATTTCAATATTTGTTCTCTATATACATCATATAAGATATTGCTTAAGCATCATACTTTGCAGTTGAGTGTGATGGTCTGCAAATTCATTTGCGAGCGAGCAAAGCGAGCGAGGAAAATTTGTTAAGATTCGTAAGGTCGCAGTGCGAAAAATTACAACTTAAAAAGAGGAAAAACCCAATCCTGATGGGGATATAAGCACATTCTCATAACGGAAGACTTAAAAAGACCTTTGAAGTTACATGATTATAACATCTATATCTTCGATCAAGCGTAGCGAGCGAGCTTTGGGGGGAATTGCTCTTGGTCGCTTGAAATTAGGGGCACGTTTAATCAATGACGAGAGGAAATTAGGGGACACTTATCAAAAAGGTTAAGACACTTATTAGAAAAGAAAAAGAGTACGTGGCAAAGTACAAAGGCTAATCATCAGAGGTGAAAATGGGGCACTTCTTACACCTAAAGAAAGAGGCACCCATCAGATTTTGATAGGGACATTTGTAAAAAAGGGATAGGTTCCTTATTATAAAGGAAAAAGGGAAAAGGGGCACATATAATATATTATCATTGTAAAAAGGGTAGTTATCAGATGTGAAAAGGGGCACTTATCGCATCTAGAAAGGGGCACTGACCATACATGAAAAGAGGCACTTATGAGAATGAAAAAGGGGCACTAATGATAAAGGGAAATTTGCATGTGTTGAAAGGAAAGGGCACCGATCAGATTTTAATACTGGGCATTTTGTCGTGTTTGGGATTGGTGTGTTAAGTTATTGGAATATTGAGAGGTACATAAAATAAAGAGATGCTGAGACTTTCTTTGAAGTGTAATAATATGCAAGAGTTTAATTTATTATAACTCTAAAAACGATGAGTCACATAGTCCAGATTCACAAGTATATTTACAAGATGTAGAGTAGCCAAAGTATAGGTGTTGGCTTGGTGATGGTCTGAACTCTACCCCCCTCAGAAAGCCAGAACATGTAATATTTATACAGGAGGATACAAGTAATATGAGGGTAGGTTACATTGTGTAAAAGGGACAAAGACAAGTTCCCTCTCACAGTCATTTAGCTATAACACGTGTAATCTGTTCTGGGAAAGGGTCTTATCAAACAAAGGGGGCTTTGGTTATTGGGAGAAAGACAGGAAGTCTTTTGTTTTGGAGGTTTGGGGGCTCTTATCGAGTGTATACGATTTGGGGTTTATTTGGCTGGAATAAGTTATTAAACAAATGTCCTAGAAGGAGGTCTGGTATATCACAGGGTGGGTCTTATATCTGTATTGGGGCATACTGAGTGGTATTATATACTATTACTGAGGGGGTGTAGACTTTTACTACCATTATATAACAATTTATCGGAGGTGAAAGGGGGCTCTTAAACAAAATTGAGGCACATGTTAAAATAAACGGGGCACTTATCAAGGATGAAAAGGGGGTAATTGTGACAAGGGGAAGGGGCACTTAGGCTATAAGAAGGAAAAAGATAATTTATTAGGAAGGGAAAGGGGGACGTGCCAAAATAAAAGGGGCATTTATAAGAGATGAAAAGAGCACTTATCAGGAGGGGAAGGGGCACTTGTCAAAGTTTAACGAGTATCTCTCAGAATTGAATAGAGTCATTTACAAGAGATGAAAAGGGACATTAATGAGAAGGGAAATGGGCTCTTTTTCAAATGGGGGCACTTATTAAAAAGG